CTGAGACTGTTTGTGTGAACATGGTTTTTTAGGAGCAGGCCCTAAATTAGACTGAGCGTATGATGAGAGTAACAACAGAGCTAAGGTGGGAAAAGGCAGAATCAAACTACTTGCTGTTTCTAATGAGGGAGATTATAAGTACACTTGAGTTGTACTCTTTAACACCAGAGGGGAATTTATTCTGTACGCGGTAGCACTTGTTTGGGAGGAGGAGACTGCTTCCTGCAGAAAACAAATGCTTTTGGTCGATACTTTTTGCCTATTTCTTGTGAATTCCTTAGAAGTTTCCAGGGGCTACTTTTTAATGAATGAATAGCCCTGACACATTCCCACCGGTGTAAGTTTAGAGGACCTCCACTAAAGTCAATGGAGAAGCATTAGGAAATAAAAGGATCAAGCCCATTGTTTTCCCTGCTTTCAGTTTGGGATCAAGTGCAAAAAGCGGCTGCTTGATACCATAGGAATGGGCATCAGAGAGATGGGATCTGAGAGGTGGTGGGCTGCAAGTCTAATCAAGTACTGAAATGCCTGTGTTCCTTTGTTTGGAAACACTTAAAATACCCTGGGTGTTACTGAAAACAGACCATAAATATGAAAGCTACTGCTACTAACAAAAATCCACCCTCTTGGTCCTTAGCAGTTTAGACATACAAAAATGACAGAGAGGCAATTCCATATTCCCAGGAGTTCATTAAAACATCATCCATTTTCTTTCAGATAAGACCATCCATCACAGATAGAGATGATCCTGAGTCACTTGTCACCCTTGTTAAATGAAAGAAAGGCTAGTTCCAGTTTGTGTCAGCTTCCGCTTTATCTGAACCTTGCCATGCGCTGTGAATACTAAATAAGCCTGCTATATCCTCTGCTTAAAGCACAGACCTCAAGATGAAGAGAGCTGCAGAAGTGGCTATATGATTTCACAGAAGCTAATAAGATATAATCTCAGCATAGAAAGCACCCTCCAGTGGAACCTGTATGGCTGGAAAACCCAAGGTGAGTGCATCTACATGTGCTATTAATGTGCTTTAAGCTTACTGGGCAGAAAAATTATGCACAGTAAGCTTTCCCTGGGAGTGCATTTATATGTGCACCTGTTGAGAGCAAATTTGCTCCCGATGGGAGCAATTCAGTGCAGGGCTACTTCTGCCCTGCTCTGCCCACCTGCAGCAGCCAGAGGGAGCTCTGGGCTCCCCTGGGTGCCAGCCCCAGGCTGGTCAAGGCACTGGGGTCAGGCCTGGGCTCTGGGGGGCAGGGGAAGCTGTTCCACCTCTGGGGTAGCTGCTTTCCAGCCCCATGCCCTGACTGGCAGATCTAGGCATGGGGCTTGGAAACTTTCCCCTCCCCTAGCAGCTGTTTCCCAGCCCCGCACCCTGAAACTGGGAAATGGCTAGGGGAGGGAACAGTTCCCCCACCTCCTGCTGCCTGGGGGGAGCTATTTGCTTCTCTCTACACGTGTGCAACTGAGCAGTAGCTAATGCACAGTTCATCTACTACCTGTATTTAGAAGTAGTAGAAAACCATGCATTAATTTACTTAATTTAATTTACTTAATTTGCTTAATTTACTTTGTGCAGTAGCTGTTGCGCACGGTTACATGGTGATACTTTACTGTGCAGTAGATTAGTCTACTGAGCAGTAAGCATCTCGGGCCCAGCATAAAGGACAAATTTGCTAGTAGCTTAACGCTTGACTGTCCCTTGTTTCAAGGGGAATCAATCATTTTAGTCTGACAATTGCTTATATGTTAAACAAAGGTCAGTGTCTCCTTCCTTTTACTGCTGAAATCAGACCAGAAATAAAGAACCATGAACCTGATAGGACACAATCATTGACACTGAAGGCAGGGACCCTATAGCTTCTAAAGTGTATCACATGTATAATTTCTTTGTACCTCTCATTTTTGGTTTTTGCTATACACTGTGCAGCAGTCTGAGTGGTACGACTAGTGAGGTGATGCTAACTATTGCCTTGATCGGACAAAAGATGATGAACTTGGGTCTAACTGAACTAATTTTTCCAGGACAACAGGAGGAAGAAAGAAATTATATTACTTCATCTATCTGCTGCCCCTGAGCCTAGAGATGACTGTCAATTCAGACTTTGATTTAATGTACAGAAGTTTTAGGGAAGCTTTACTTTATGCTAGCCATGAATGGACCACTCAGTGAAAGCCCAGGAAAACTAGAGTGGAAACCACATTGGCCACACTATCACCAGAGCCCCTGTCAGGCCCTTGGAGCACCACCTAGTCCCACAGGGGAACCAGAAACAGGTGCTCTTTAGAAAGGATAAAAATTCCAAAGGCCTAAAACCCTCATGCTTTGCTTCAGGGAGTAAAATGCCTCATAACTGACAGAGGTTAGAAGAAATCATGCCTCTGGGCAGATTATTTCATAATTGTTCATGACAAGGATCCCCATGAGGTGCCACATACTGCCTGCTGTCAGAGACAGGACTATGGGCATGATGAGCCTCTAGTGACATCCAGTATGTCAGTTCTTCTCTGTCAAACAGGGAACTACATAGCTCAGGTTACTAATGGGTTATGGATCTTCCCATCTTTGGTTTTGCTATTCAAATGCAGACCAGGCTACAGTTCTGAGTTTCTGCAATATATCATTTTTAGAAACAATGCATTTGCTTTGAAAGACCAGAGCCCATCATCCCAACCCATCTGATCAGAGGCTGTATGGAAGGATTTTTAAGGTGATCTTTTATGCATAGGCTTTGGGCATGTCAAGGAGCAGCTGAGAAAAGCCCTGGGTGCAGCATGCTCAGGGGCAGCACTAAAGTGGCTACACTGCTTGATTTTGGGGCTTTGAATAAGGAGTGGGAGCCAGCAGGCAGCTGTATCTCTCAACAGTGTGCCCAGGTTTGTCATGGTAATGGTGTAAAGATATGCCCCTAGAGATACTTTCACAAGGCAGAGAATAGATAGTACAGCTGGTCAAAAGGGTGGTGGCAGAAGGATGGATGGATTCAAAGCAGGACTCACTGGTGGAAAATGCTTATGAACACTCATATGTGCATGCACACACAAGAAAGGAATAAGACAGAGAGAACAGGTAGGCTTTGCAGTGTGCCTGGCAGGTCAACACACAAGCTCTGGTAGAACAACATGAGGTGATTCTGGTTGTCTAGACCAGGGGTACTTACCCGCTAGCCTGCTCCCCTCCTGCCAAATTTCCAGATCGGTGAAGAGCCCTGCAGGCCAAATAGCATTGCCCCATGCACTGGATTGAGTGTGCAGAGCAGCACAGGGCCCAATCCCACTGCATGGGACTAGTCTTGGGTGGTGCAGGGCCTATTCCCAGTGTGTGGGCCCTATCTAGTCAGCAGACCAGCCCCACACCTCTCATTTGATCCGTGCAGCCAAGATGTTGAGCACCATTGGTCTAGACCAGTGGTTTTCAACCTTTTAAAATTTGTGGACCCCTGAAAAATTTGAAATGGTGGTGCAGACCCTTTTGACCCTTAGATTGATGTGTGTGATGTTTTCTGGTAGGTGCCCATACAGCTCAAGCAGTACATGTCAGCCCTGACCTGCAGCAACTCTTGTTATTCCTAGCTGAAGGCTCTTCTGAGCAGCAGCTCTCTACAGAGTCAATGTTAAACCTTCCATCTTGCAGCTCTGTGTGTGAGAAGCAGGGCAGAGAAAGTCTTGCCTAGGGGGAGGGCAGGGGTCAAATCGCAGGCTGAGTCAGGGAGCAGGAATCAGAGACCAAGTTACCAGATCCAAAGGGAAATCCATGGGTAGAGTCCCAGTTACAGGCTGAATCAAGTTTTGGGAACTGATAGCCAGTGCTTAGGTCAAGATGAGCCAGGAGTCAGAGCCAAAGTCAGGGTACACCAGGGGTCAAAGCCCCAGGCAGGGGCTGCCAGCTAGGCAATAAGCCCAGGTGGACTTCCTGTTAAGGCCCATCACATTATGAACCCAGCTGTCCTGAGACAACAGCGAGATGCTAACCCCCAGTGATCCTGAATCCCTTAACAGCTGAATTCATGGTGTACATACACTGCATTTCCTTTCTGGAAATCCTAGGGTCACAGCACATTCAGATGGCTGCAAGCATGATATTACCTCAATCGTTTTTTGCTAAGGGACTTATAAGAAAGGCCAGGACCTTTCTCCACAAGTTACTAGCCCATAGGAGCACTCTCTGTATTTCATGTGCAGGCCATGCTACTGCACATGAATCCTAACACAATAGTGCATCAGGGATGCGGGTCCTTTCTGTGTTCATTCTGGTCCCCTTTCCATGGATGCTTGAGTGATATCACACTCTTCTCCAGCAGTCATGGGCGGAGAGCTAGGTTTACATTGCTTCTAACAAAATAAACTCTACCTGCTCACCCAATCTGGAGACACCAGAGTCGGGCAATTAGCACTATATTGAGGCTCTCTGCCTCAGGAGAACATAGGGGCAGTGCTGCAAGGCTGGTGCTCAGCTCCTTTTGGGGCCACTCCTGAATCATCTGCTCTATCTACCTGGTGGTCATTGGTGTGCCCCAGTGGAATCGAGTGGGCAGGGCTTACTGTCGTTGTTCAGGAGGGAAGCCGTATAGACAGGATCCAACATGTGTTTTAATTCCCCCCTCTGCCTTCCCTTGGATCCAAACATGGGCTGAAGGGGTAGAAAAACCCAATCAGAGGTAACTGTACAAAAAGCCAATGGCATCGGATGTCAGAGGTATCTTTATTGAACGTTTACAGAAATACAGTAGCACTCAGTATACAGGATCTATGCAAATCCTCCAGAATCCGTCCACATTCTCAGCATTCTCAGAAGGATTCCAAGGAGGGTTTTTCCTTTTAATTCTTTGGGGCTTTATCTGGAGACTTGAGGGGTTTTTCTAGTATGAATTCTCTAGAATTCCACTCTCTGGAGGTGGTGGTGGGGTTGATATTATTATGGCCTTCAAATTAAATTGAACAAATTCCTATATTAAAGAAGGGAAA